TGTTTTCCCTGTTGAAGGTTGTGTGGAGAGATTTCCACATTCAAGTGGATCTAAGTTTAGACGGTGTCATACTCTGTACTGATTGTAAATCCCTTTATGGCAAACCTATGATTTGTGATATTGGGCTGTAGAAATAAAACTGAGTGGATTGGGCTATGATAAATCAATGGCCCTCTATTGCTAATTTATAATTATAATTATTTTTATTTGTATAGCACTTGCAAAAACAAAAGATTTACAAAGTGCTGAAGAAAAGGGAAAAACACTGACAGAGATTAAATGACTAGAGGTTTAGAATTAGGTTTGAAAATGTGACTCAGCTGAAACATTCAATCTGCTTCTTTGATAAAAAGTAGAGGTACAATTTTGTGTGCATACAATTTTCGGGGGTTAATGTAACTCCAACTCCAAAGGTGCAACTTGACAAGAAACATCCAATCTCTGAGCTTCAAATTCAGGTCAGTCACAGTCCTGTTTTATTTTTAATTTGTTGCTTATATATCAGAGGTCAGTAATATGTGGATTGCAGTCTGGACCTAGATGCTGTCCTATCTGCATCCGGAGCTGGACCTATGTGCTATAAATGATTGAGAATTATTCAATTTTGATGGAGCATTTCTATTTTTATTGGTGCAGCTTTTCTAGCCTTTACAGTACTGGTCATGTGATGCTACTCAGCCAGTCATTGCGACTAATTGATCTAACTTGATTAACCCTTTGCCCATATTTGGACAAAAATAAACAAGTTAAAATTCGACTAAACTGCTGTTTGTGTTGGTGCTGCAGGTTTCAGATTTTCTATTAGTCAAGGTGTGATGTTAAGATTCTGTTAGCAGAATATTTTTGAGTATTTTTTTTTGATTTTCATTCATGTTTATTTTTGACATGTTTTGAGTGAAATGAAAACCCTTATTTTCAAAAGCCTTTTGACTGCTTGGTCCCTGACACAAAGAAACGTTTGTAACATTGCCAGTTCAAATGATACTGTGATACCAAGCAGAAATTCTAAATTTCATGTTAAACTGTCATGAGTGTCAATATGTAGGAAAGACATCGATATTAAAAAATGACTAACGTGAAGAAAAGCTGTACTCCAAGCACCAGAGGGCTAAGGTGCAGATGTTCACTGCCAGTCATGCTCCGAATGCACCACAACTATGACATAATCTGCTCACACTCATCTACGAAATCTAATGTTCAGCTGGTGATCAGCTGCTCGGTATCAGTGTGTACAGTAAAGAAAATATGTGTATGGAGGGAAAATGGAGCCTGTTCAGGAGAACAATGGGATGAGTGATGACAGCTGTTACCAGGAGCTTCTTAAAGACACTAGTATGAGGAATGCAGCAGAGACATAACCTGTGGAGACGATGTCATGACTCACACTGTATACACACACACACACACACACACACACACACACACACACACACACACACACACACACACACACACACAGCTGACAGTAATTGCTTGTTGCCAATATATGTGCCACATGTGTTGAGGCCAGAAGAGGAACATCGATGATGTTGAAGCCTGTTGAGGCTGCAGTGTTCTTTACATCCAGCAGTACGACAATGCTGGACAGTGCAGACAACAGACTGATTATTTATAAACTGTACTGCCTCGTCACGTTGAGCCTGCTCTGTTATGTTCTCAGCAGATGTAACAGCAATCTGTCCATTAGACATTAAAATATTTACCTGCTACGAAAAAGTGTCAGAGGTGCAAAGTTTTGCATTGCTTTACTTTTTCATTTAATGCCAACCACTTTGAAAAGTCTGACACCCTCATTTCTAAAGACACTGTGTCATAAGTCACAGAGTTTTTAGTCTGTGACTGTGAGACTTAGTAAAGACTGGGGATCCTGCAGAATCATTATTTGCAAGATTAGATTCCTTTGTGATTTTTATTATCATTATTATTATTATTATTAGATAGATAGCTAGATAGATAGATAGATAGATAGATAGATAGATAGATAGACAGACAGACAGATAGATAGATAGATAGATAGATAGATAGATCAGCTCATTGTTGATAATAACAACAATAATAATAATAATAATAATAATAATAAAAACATTGTTGATAATAACAACAATAATAATAATATTAGTCCACTTCCTTTGGCTGATGTGTTGTATAGCCTGATGGCAGTGGGAACAAAGGATCTCCTGAACCTCTCTGTTCTGCAGCGCAGTGAGATGTGTCTGACATGCTGCTGCCCCAGCAGACTGCAGCACTAAAGAGTACACTGGCCACCACTGACTGATAAAGCATGTGCAGCATTTCACTGCAGACGTCAAAGGACCTGAGCTTCCTGAGGAAAAACAGCAGGCTCTGCCCCTTCAGGTAGATGGTATCTGTGTTCAGGGACCAGTCCAGTTTACTGTCCAGGTGCACACCTAGGTATTTATAAGTATGCACCACCTCAATGTCCTTTCATTGAATGTTGACTGGCTGAAGGGAGGGCCTAGACCTGCGAAAGTCCATGACCATCTCCTTGGTCTTGAGGTGTTCAGAAGGAGGCAGTTCTTGTTGCTCCATTCACTGAAGGCCATCGTCAGATCCCTGTACTCCTCTTCCTGCCTGTTCCTGATACGCACAACAATAGCTGTGTCATCCGAGTATTTCTGGATGTGGCAGGACTCAGAGTTGTATTTAAAGTCCGCCGTATACAGGGGGAACAGGAACGGAGCCAGAACAGGCTGCTCATCACTGTCCCCTCAGGGACAAAGGAGTTTCCCACACAACAGCAGGACACCTGCACACACTTCCTGTTTGTCCTGTGGGTTGCTATGATAGTTTGATGAGCTGTTCACTGAAGAGTGGAGATGGTTGCTGGTTTGTAAGGAGCATTTACATAGAGAAAAGTTTCCTTGTTAGAAGTTTTAAAGACTTTTATAAACACATGAATTGCGGACAACTCTTGACCTCCATGTATTTGGAAATGTTTGCCTGGCTGACAAACAATGGTTGGCACATGGCCAGGCAAGAGGCTGCCAACTGGCAACCCCCCCCCCCCCCCAAACCCCTCCCCCCCACCCTTCCATCAGTGTCTTACGCAGTGTGGCCAGTACACACATCCTGCCTTTGTGAGCCAGGAATGCTAAGAATCCAGACTCCTGCCCTCCTCCCTGCTGCTGCCCAACAAGGTGCTCTCACCCCACCTCCGCCTCATGCCCCATCTCACCCCAGTGACCCCCCACTCTGGCTTCCCAGTGGTTTTACAGCTAGGCCGGCTGGGTGTCTGGGTGGCTGCTTGCGTAAGTCAGTGCACTGTGTGTGGTGTGAGGTTGTGCTCTGTGTGCACACAGTAACATCACTGCGTCAGTCTGGAGCAACAACACCTGCTCTGAGGAAGTTAGACCAACGTTCTCTAGTTTGGTTTCAGCAACATGTTCAACTTAGATGAAGTTTTCAGGGTGGGCTTTTTGACCACTAGTGGTGCTATGGAGCCATGTTTTTGTGTTGTATGGATGCATGAAAGTCTACCCATTTAAATCTCTCTACAGCAGTGAAATAGTAAAATAGCATCATAAAAATATAAAAAATAACACAAATATGTACAAACAAATAAAGATAAAAGTACTGACAAAATTTAATTCCATATTACAAGATGTTAAAGCTCAAATTAGGTGTTTAATGTAACATGCCAGAGGCAACATGTTACAAAAGAACATACATGAAGCGCTACGTCCTGCCCTGCTGACGGCTTCATGCTAATCTGCTCATCAACAGTAGGTGGCAGTAATGTGCCAAGAAATGTATCAATCCAAAAACAGAGACAAAGAAGACGGCTGATTCACACTAAAAAATGCTGTGTTACTTCAATCGGGTAGGTTGACCTAACACTGAGTTAAATATAGTGAACTAGCTTTGAAGATGCACCCTGAAATCAGGCTCATCACTCTTCACAGTGCTTGCTTCCAAAAGAAAGAGTGGTATGAGGAACATGAATTTGAAATGAATATCATAAATTTTTATACAATTTTATACATTTTAAATGTATTGGCTAACTTGATATTTTTGGGTTGTAGCAGTAACAGAACAGGTGGGACATCTTGTGCTTGTATAGGAGGCCGATTAGGGTGAAACACAATGGAAATGTGCACATGCATCACATTAACCACATACACAATGAAAGTGTGTACATACACATTGAAAACTTCACATACACACCAAAAACATACATATACACACTGCATATTTACACATTATCTTAACACACCGTGATATAGGCTGATACTCAAATACTACTGCGTCTTCATCTTTTAAAAAACAACACCGTAGATGTACATTTCCTACGTTTCATGGCAGCGCGAGCCAAAGCTTAATGCGAGGACTTTCCTGCTCTCCAGCAAAACACTTTTTATGTGCCCCTGGGATGACAATGGGAATACAGAGGTTTTCCTACCAATCATGGGAACCTGAAGATAGGTCTGTGTTTCCTGGACTGCAGCCCATTAGGAAAGAGATGGAAGGAACACAGGATGTCCTGAGCACAGTCCCACAGCTCTGTGCGGTGGAAAGGACTGAGCCTGGTGGGTTGGACAAGCTGTTCACAGGGATTTTCTCCACATCACCACTCAACTAAGATGGAGTGGGATTCCCTACTCAGGTTTTCCATGACACCTGTCCTGCCTGTGCTTTCTCTTTTCTTCTGTGTAATACCTCTGGGTATGTGTGGCCTGAACTACAACATATTTTAATCACCTTTTGGTTGCCAGGATACACCAGTCACTATTAATTGTTAAAGATTTGCTTCCTGCATATATTTTGACACCTTGACGTTTCTCATCGAGGTCACATGACACAGTGATTGGTCAATGTTTGTCTGTTAGTATTTCACACCAGTGTATCTGCCACTTCATCCCTCTGGACCCCCTCCATCTGTCTGGAGAGGAGAGTCAGTGATGTCACTGCGGGGGCGGGGGCATTTGTGTATATAAGTACAGGGCCTGCACAGGGAGACCTCTCTGTGAGGCAGAGCTGAGCTGACACCAGGATACTGTAGATGAGCCAGCGACCTCTCAGACCTCTCTGGACTGTGGATACGCTTTCATCCTGCAGCTGATGATTGATGCTTCTTTCTTCTCAGGACTCTGGACAGTTCATCTGAGCGCCGTCTTCTTTATTCCTGTTTTTGTTGATCTGCTGCATCAGGATGTTTAACCCTGTCACTTTACAACAGCTCATCTCCACCCTGTTTGTGCTCTGCAGTGCTGCAGTTATGGTGAGTCTCTGACCTGCTGCTTTTAAAGCTTCTCTGTGTTCATGTGTGTTTGTGAAGGTTCATTGTTTTCAATCTTTATGGCTAATGTTGGATGAGCTGTCCTCCATCCTGAACTGACCTCTGACCCTGACCCAGTCTGCAGAGGGTGAGTGTCCATCTGAGTGCTCCTGTGCCCCCTCACCTCTGCTCTGCCCGCTGGGCGTCAGCTGGGTGACCGACCACTGCGGCTGCTGTAAAGTGTGTGCGAGGCAGTTCAACGACGACTGCAGCGCCACCGAGCCCTGTGATCACATCAAGGGGCTACGCTGCCATCTTGGGGCTGGAGGAGATCCCAAGAGAGGACTGTGTCGAGGTGAGGGTGACACTGAGCAGGAACACACGATTCAACTTAACTAAGATGATAGAACAAAACAGCTCTGGGTTTAAACCACAAAACATATCAGTAGTAAGGAAACTGTGCATCTTCTGAAAGTAAAACCTGCTTGTATGAAAAATAAAAAGTGAATAAAAGTGATAAGTATTAATATAATTATAATGATAATGAAATAGCAAAATATAATATATTCACATATTTACATGTACATGTATATACAACAGACAGTATAATATAATATAATATAAAGGTAGTTATTATAACATCAATTATTAGATATTAAAATCAAAATCCCTCAATAAATCTGAAAATCAAGAAAAAAAATCCCTCATTGAACAGTTCATAACTGAAGCCAAACTGTTTGTGACCACTTCTTATAAGGAGGAAAAATATGGCTACCAGTCTAAATAAATCACAAGACAAATGACCAGTGTAAACAAAGATTTATATATTAAAGGAGTACTGATTTTCTTCCTGCTGCTCAGCCTGTGGAGAAATTTGTATAAAGTCTGGAGGAGAAAATAACCTGGTGATGTCATCAGGGTTATTTTGCAGAATACAAATATTCGTCATAAACTGGAGTTTTAAAGATGTGGACAGGGAGGATCAAATAAAGAGTGCATTATGGGAACTGTAGGATACAGGGCTTTTGTAGGTTGACATATAATAGGGACTGAAAGACATGACAGCATGTTTCTGCCTCTGTTGCACAAGTTTGGACCATCCTTTCTTTATTCCTCAGTAACACATCCTTTTAATTTAAAAAGCATGAAATCATGAACTATTCCCTTTAGAAAATGTATTCCTTCCCCAGTTTGATCCTACAGGCTGTGAGGTGTTAGATGTGTTTTCTAAAGCGTCCTCAGCTCTGTTTCCTGTTTTGTGTGTTCGTGTTGACAGCTGAGGCCCAGGGTTTGCCCTGCGAGTTAAGTGGGCGGATGTACCAGCACGGCGAGGACTTTCAGCCCAACTGCGAGCACCAGTGCACCTGTATGGACGGGGTGGTGGGCTGCATGCCCCTCTGTCCCCACAAAGTGCCTCTACCCGACTGGCGCTGCTCGTGGCCCCGGCTGGCGCGGCCTGAGGGCGGCTGCTGCGAGGAGTGGTTGTGTGACGATGACAACCACATCAGTGAGGAGCCAGAGGAGCTGACACACACCTCCCTACCAGACGGCCAGCCCCTTCTCAACCACATCAGTGCCCTGGTGCCGGCCCCGCCTCAGCCCCCAGCTCTGACCAGAGGGGCCACGTTCAGAGGTAAACATTGCAGCATATCCCAGCAGAATACACTTTGTTGTGGTTTCAGAAAGGTTTTTAATTTCTGACTTCAAATAACAATAACTTGCATTGAAGGGGAATTCTGTAATATTTGTTCCACACTGGTGCTCTAATGTCATGAAGTGAAGTTTCATCAGAAACAGAGATCAGATTCAATTTCTGAGGTAGTTTCTACTTCTTAGCTTTCTCTTTTAAAAAAAAATATCAAAAAAAAATATTTAGCCTAAATATGTTTCTTGTTTTAAATAAAATTTAAAGATTTAACCCTGAGAGAGAAAAGGTGAGGGGCAGAGTTTTTTTGCCAGTTAGATATACAGTTTTTGTTATACAGTTTATTATGTTGTAGACTAAATTGTAAATGGATGAAATTGCCATTTTGCAAATGTATAAAAAATCTGAAACTTAAAGCTCCATCCAGTCCAACTTTGTGATATCACAACAAAGCAGTCACTAAGCCTCGCCCACCTGGACCCACCATTCAACTTGCAGGATTTGGTTTCTCTGAGTGTTTACCTGATATCTGCTATATTTTTATTGGATCACTCAGAAAAAAGTAAGCCAATCAGAAGAGAGGCTCAGAGCCTCCTCTCTTCTGATTGGTTCACTGACCTGTTGTTACTAGAGCTCCAGAGAGAAGCCTGAGAGGAGAAAACTACACTGAGGTTTTGTGGTTCTTAGAACCACAAATATATCTTCTTATAGATCAACACTTCAAATAAAACACAGAAGAAGAGGAAAACATGGAACTTTAAATTCCTCCTTAATTCAGTATTTTGTAGAAGCCCCTTTTGGCAGTAAAAAGACCTCTGAGTCTTCTAGGGTAAGTCTCTTCAAGCTTAGTACACCTGGATTGGGCAGTTCATCCTCAGAACCTTGCTCATGGAGGTTATGAGCTCATGCACTGGCTGAGAAGGAGCATATCCCGAATTAATGAGTTCAAGTAGATGGTGGAGACAAAGAATCTCTCTGAGAGGTGAAACGTCTCCAAGCATCTACAACCAAGTTCAGTTTCCCTCAGTTCAGCTCGTCTTGGATAAAATTGAAACGGCTTCTCCTCAGGGGATCATGAATGTGCTCAGTGCATAAAACTGCTACCTTCACATCAGAGTTTGCGATTTATTTTGATCTGGCATTAACAGCAGAATCTTTATGATTCATCCTGGGGACCATAAATGTCCACAGCTAATTGCATGAAATTGCATGTGTTGTGGCCTTGTAAACATATCATCAAAACAACTGACTGACATCTCTAATCCCAGCTTTTTCGAGGCCATGAATGTATGGATAGAATGAATGAATCTTTACAAATATCAATGTTTGATTGTCTTTCTTTGTCTCTGTCACAGAGATGGTGTCCTTCCCCATGTCTGAGTTATTGCTCAAATCCAGCTGTTTCCCACAAACCACTGCATGGACTGAGTGCTCCACCACATGTGGGATGGGCATTTCAAGTCGCGTGACCAATGACAACCAAGACTGTCGGCTGGTCCGAGAAACCAGACTGTGCCAGGTCCAACAATGTGAGCTGCGGCTTCCTGTAGCTAGCAAGGTATGCTAAGAATCAGGCCCATTAGGAAATGAAAGAATATTGGAGATAAACAGAGCAGTAGGATTTAAAGGGTATTATATTACAAAGCAGTCCAGTACTGGTAGTGAACTGGCTTTGAGATGATGTGTTTGTCAGTTAAAGTCCTATGTTGAAGTTAATATGATTTTCACTCATGTATAAAGAATAAATAAATTAGTAAACACTGACAAAAATCTGTTTGTCGTCCAGAAAGGGAAGAAGTGTCAGCGAACTGTCCGACCACAGCAACCAGTAAGTATCACCTTCGCTGGATGCTCAACAGCACCGCGGTACCGCCCTCGCACCTGTGGGACTTGCACTGATGACCGCTGTTGTACACCCTCCCTCTCCCGTACCGTGCGCCTTCATTTCCACTGTCCTGACGGGGAGAGTTTCTACAGGAACGTCATGTGGATACAGCGCTGCAGCTGCAGCTCGGGCTGTCGCACGCACAGCGAGGCCTCCAGCCCTTCAGTCAGCCTCCACAACGACATCCACACCTTCAGGCACTGAGGTGACTCATCGTGCCCTGCCCCTGCCCGGCACACTGGCCGCAGACTCTGCACCTATCCACAGCCTATCCCATGCTTCCCTGTCAGTTAGATGGGTGGGGACCTCTGAGTTCCTGCCACCACACTCCCTTCCCCACAACCAGGCAACACAATTTCTAGCACTTTAAGCATCCTGCCATGATAATGTCAGTTTGCCCACACTAGAGGGGTGTTACCTCTCTAGTACCAGGGCAGCACTGAGGACGACATACAGCATTTTGCTGTGTCAGACTGCTGGCGGAGACTTCTAACTTTTATTTATTTGTCACTTTGTGTAATCTTCATTATTTTGAATCAGGGTGGAAGAACGAGATGATATGAGACATTCATCAGTGAATATAGGGACTGTGTGTGTGTGTGTGTGTGTGTGTGTGTGTGTGTGTGTGTGTGTGTGTGTGTGTGTGTGTGTGTGTTTCGCTCATTATCCTACCACAGCATATAGTTAAAAACATTCAGTGTACAGTATATAGATATAGACTTCACTGTCAATGGTGGAGTGGTAAATTCTAGGATCACCTCATTTTTCGGGGTGTGATTTTATTTTAGTTGATTGGTGGGTTGGGGGGGGTCCTAGTGCCCCTCCCAGCATGTTGTTCAGGTGAGTCCTTCAGATTGTACATACGACGCTTTATTTCAAGGGCGCAAATGATGCTATGAGACATATACTGTAAACTCCTGTACATCTAATAAAAACATATCAACCTGTGATCCGTCTTATTTTTTGGCTAATGTTTGAATGAAATGAGGTTTTGTAGGTGCACCCTAAGAATTTTTTGATTCTCTATCTCCATTATGTTCCTACTACAGTGCAGCTGCTACAATGGTTAAAACATTTTTTTTCATGTCTGATCATATTCAAATTCAGTCTAGACATAGAATCTATAGTGAAAGTTCATGTTGCTGGCATGATGTCACTATGACATCATCAGGTCTTTTCTGTGTCTGTTTTTGCTGTGAGACTTGTCATATGTGAAAAATAGGTGAGACACAGAATCTCTAGATCATGTGATGCAGCTGTGAGGCATGAGATGCACGTGTCACGCAGGCAGTGTGCCACTGTATCCCATTAACATGTGCGCCGTAATGAAAACCAAGACGTTCTGTAGCTGCCACAAATCCAGTGTGTTCCTGGCCGTAGTTCTGCTAATATTTGTTTATAAAGTAAAGTATTGGACAAATTGAAATTTTGGCCCAATGGTCTTGCTGGAGTAAAGGTCAGAGGATCACAAAAGTTATTACAGGGAGACATCAACGTCTGAATGAAATTTCATGGCAATACATCCAATGGTTGTGGAAACATTTAACCAAAAATGTCAACTTCATGGCTGTACTATGGAAAAGTCATTTGCCTTCATCCTCTGGGGAACATGAATGTCTGTACAGAATTTCACTGTAATCCATCCAGTAGTTGTGGAGATATTTCAGTTTGGACCAAAGTTTTGGACAGACTGACACAGCAGCTAATGAGGCTGAAGTAAGTGACTTTCTCTCACTCATTCATTCACTCATTCACACACGATGCACTCGCTTGTTATGGGATTCATCGCAGTGAATTCGTCACATTACAGTATACAATTTTGCAACGGCACTTTTTCAAGGTATTTATCAAGTTTCCTTCCTGTCTCTAGGCCTCCTCACAGGACCCCTGGACATGACTGGATAATGGTAGTTGATGGTAGTTTTCTACCTGTTGAGTTACACTGGGAATCTACTAACAAAACAACAAAGGTTGGTTGCTGAATGCTGAATGTCTAAAAGAAAATAAAGTATTTTATTCCACATTGAAACTGTGGTTCTGTCAGCCATGATACATGCTTCATATACCACTGTCATTGCCTCACAACTTTTTGTGGATCATCAGTGACTCTCTTACCACTGAGCTCCTCACTCCACCTTTTCAGAGCTCTGGGTCCACGTTGCCTCGCAGCCTTACACAATGATCCGGCTGCCTCTGTAGCACAAACATTACGGTGGACTCCTAAATTCCTCACCCTGGCCTCTGCCTCCCTCTGAGAGGAGGAAGGAACACTCTGACCTCCTGTCTGCCCCATCAGACCCCAGTCAGTGGTGTGAGCTGCTGCTCTACTAATTCTTCAGTCTCCACTTTTAATTGGACATAGATATTTAGTGTTTGGGATCATAATTGAAGCAGTGTATTAACTGCTTGGTGGGTACTACATTATGTATCAGAGGGGGGTGCTGGAGGAACACTGTTGAACTGTTAAAAATTGAAAAGATTCATTCTTTGCGGAGTGTAAAGGTGTTCGGTGTTCAGGTGTTTCAAATTTTCACCTTATGGTGCCAGTAGAAGTGGCTCATCAGGGCACCATGACTATGTGTAGATAATGTCATGGTAATGTCGTAATCCTCTGGACCGAGGTCCGATGTCATTTGGCCACAACCTTAAGTGGTGTAAAAATATTTAAAGTCTGTCTTAGATACTCAAATAATAAAACATAAGGCAGGAATTGCCCCATGGTCCCACCAAATGCTCTGCCCCTCCAAATCGTTCCACTTCATCCCAAAATTCAAACAGTAACTGAAAAGTATTTTATTTTGTCCTTGTCAATTTGACTAATCATAAACATGCCACATTAAAATACTCAACATTTATTTATATCTGATTGGTTGGTGTGGCCATATAAAAACTGCATACAGTAGGGAGAACAGTTACTTCTCTATCATTTCACTTCATCTCTCTGGTCACCAGCCTACTGTCACACTCAGTGACTTGATGAGAATAGCCTGGTTTTAGTTTTAGTTAATCCATGAGATTTAGTCTCTAGCTCTGATTTGTGGTTTTTGGGATTATTCATCGTCAATCATTTCAATCACCTTCTCATACCATTACTGTAAGAATCCATCTGAAATTCACTGACCCCCCCCCCCTTTCTGCAACACACTACTCCAAAACTCCATGACAACCCAGTACCTGAGGACTCAGAAGGCAGAGAAAATAGAGCCTCAGGTTAAAGGATTGCTCCACATTATAATGACGGGGCTTCCTAAGTGACTGTCTTGGAAGCTTGTGGTGCTGTGATCCTCCACGGTAGTTTGCTTTGGCTGGGAAACCAGACTCGAAGTTACAGGTGTCGTCCAGCCTCACAGAGAGCTGTAACTTTCAGCATGGGCTTGACCTTTTTATATACAGTCCATGGGCATTACGGAGGATCAGGAAATATGTCAGAAATCAACAGGGCCTCACAGAGTAGTGTAAGTTTGCCCGGGCTTCCACACTGACCACAGCAGAGGAAACTCCACCCCCACCCCAGCCCCCCCTGCGCTCTGAAAAAGGATGTATCAAAGCTGTTCCTCTTCAACACAATGTGGGACAATAACACGTCTTCATTGGCTTGTTGTTCTGAAAATGAACGTGATGAACATGACTCACAGCTAACATGGTTTATGGAACTAAAGTCAGCATTTAAACAAAGGATCCTGTTTAAATTAAGGGTTCATAGTTGATTAATCACCATGACATCAACACTCATTCAAATGACTACAACTAAAATTACAGCTGAGGCTGATGGGAACGTCAATAGTTTTGCAGGTATTTGGTCAAATTTAATTTTTGAAGTCAGAAAAATTTTCATAGTTATGATATTTAAGTCAGGAGGAAAGTATCAGATAGACAGACTGACATTGGTATCATACAAAATTATTACTTGACATTACTTGACATTATTCACAGCACATGTGTGTGTGTGTGTGTGTGTGTGGGGGGGGGGTTGTGAATGAAAATATGGGACAAATTGCATTCAGACTTTTATACATTGCAGGTGAAATAAGATGCAGTGAGCACTCGATCAGTCAGAAATGTTCAGCACTGCAGACCACACCCCCAAATGTCCTGAACCATTGGAAAGTACTACCGCCCGACCAGGTACCTTTTTGGGTTTCGATCATTTATCTTGGAACTAAATTAAGACCCTGGTTCCTGCGGTTAAAATGAGTATAGTTCCTCAAAAAGGTTCCTGGTTCCTGGGGAAAATTCCTATGGTGGAAATGCGACTTAAATGAATATGTGCTTTTGCTTTTGATTAACCTTATTCAAACAAAACTGTTATAAATGTATTTTCATAATTCTGAAATAATGACTTTTCAGGTGCGTATCTATCTATATTTTACACATTGTATGTTTCTCTGTTGATATTTCAGCTACTACCACTACTGCACTATTGGCACTGCCAGCACTGCTGCTAATCAGAACTGCAACTACTATTTAATCTGTTATGTAATCAATTTAAAGGTCCCATGTGTAAGACTTGAAATGGATGAACTTTGGAGACTCCCTGTGGTGGTATCAAGAACTACACAGGGGCAGCGTCTCAGTGTCTCTGGATCAAATCTGTGGGACAATGACCCGGCAAAAGATCAGAAATTACAGACTACATCAGTTTTCATGGAGATAGATAGATAGATAGATAGATAGATAGATAGATAGATAGATAGATAGATACTTTATTTGTCCCCTAGGGGAAATTCATGTGTATTGTTGTTTTGTACACACATCACATTGAAAATTTAATTTTAAAAATGAAATGTTGCTATAGTCACGTATTTGTTTTATCTTGACAGAATGAGGATGTTTATGATGTTTTAAGTTTTCTGTCTCTAGACTCGTCTAACCTTTCAGTTCACACCTGTGTTAATGCAGACATGACAGCTGCTAACTGAGTTTCTGTCAAAAACTTCCAAAATAAAAAAGGTTATGAAATAATCACTATTGTTCTTTAGTAGTCACAGTTTGAAACCACAACTCCACAACCTTCAGTGGAAATGATACAGTAATTTATACCAATTCATATTATTTCTTAGAGTCAATGTAATAATAATTGTGGTAGAGTTAATGTCATAAACATGTGAGTGCTTCAGAAAACAACAAAAGAAGAAATAAAACAGACAAAAACTTCATCAAAGAGTTTACACATATTAATTTGTTGAAAAAAATATTACATTTTTAACATATTTCTGCAACACAAAATTTAAGAGGTTAATTTGAAGGTGCAACTCAGTTGTAAAACCTAATATAGGTCTATTAATCTATGTAAAAAATGAAAAATAAACCCAACCACTGAACATTTGAGGACAAGAATTTCAGCACTGTTCCTGCTGTTTTGTTTTTCACTAATTCTGTCTTCTCTAACCTCATGTACCAGAGTGTACAGTGGAAACCATATCTGCTCTTAATATTATAGGATGCTGTCCTCTACTGGAACTTAGCTGGATGTGCAGCAATGTGGCAGTTTAATGTAATGAGACCTACAACCTACAGAGACTGGTCTGTTGATGAAGTGACTGAATAATTCCTGAACCTTCAGTAGTGCTACTTTGACATTCCTTTGAGATTAAAAAAAAAAAGATCAAAAGTGTGCTTATCATATTCTGCACTCCATCTTTATCAATGTACAAGTATGATTGTTTGGCTTTATTGCTTTATTTGGCCAGATAATATCTGATATTTCAATGAGTGTCAAAAACAAACAAAACAAAACAAAAAAATGGATGGAAGGATGAGATATTGACTTGCAGAAAAACATTCACATGCTCGAACATACACCATTTCCTTAAGCCCATACACCCTATATAAAGAATGTATGAGGTGTTGGATATCAATAAAGTTCTGACTTTGATTTTTACCTTTAAATCACTGTTTCTGTGTAAAATAATTTTTGTCAACATGTGAAGAACCTTTTCACAACCTTTTAACAAAGCAAAGCATCTTTGTATTAACTTTTTGAAATTTGCCTTTTTAATAGTGACTGGTTATACATTTAAATCATACATTGAGTATACTGATAAGAAAAGGAACACAGATTTTGATAAATGTAAAAAAAAAAAAGAAAAAACAGAGAGTCCCATATTTGACAGTTTAAGAAAAAATCAAATTAAATCATTTTTGGAGCTTTGGACTTTGGCACCACAGTTCCCACTCTTTAATTTGTCCATGATTGACTATAATGTTTTTACTTTCTGTTTGATAAATGTGTAGCACTTTGAAAATAAATCCATTGAATCTCTGAATCTTATAATTATTTAAACACATGAGAATTTTGAGCAAGATATCTGAGTAAATTGTTCATTAATTTCATTTTAAATGTTCATATCTGATTAACAAAGTGATGTTGGGCATTTATCAAAATGTTTTTGAAACCCATTTTCTCCAAGTACATATATTTACAGTATCAAAGATTTCCATCCATGAAAACTATAAAACAAACACCGTGGCTTAAATGCTGTTTCCCATGTTAATACCGCGCGCACACTGGGTAACACCCTACGGGGAGCTTAAGGGAAGTGGATGTGCATATTAATAAGCCACTATAAACTCATAAATCATTTTGACTGTGGCCACGCCCCTTGTACTCCCATTGGCTGCCGCACGCTTCATGTGGGCTGAGTCCCCTCTCGGCAATTTAAATAACCCCTTGCGCAATTTGATGAATAGTGTCGCTGTCAAAAGCGATAGAAGCAAATCAAGGTATGTTGAAAGACGGACAGCGGTAACACAGAGGAGAGGGGGAGAAGCTGCGTCATGTCTCCAGCTCACGGTCAGGCCGACGTGTAGTTATTTATGAGCGGAGCTGGATGTCGGGGAGAGTTTGCTCAACTGTTACCGTCAACGAGCCGTCCCGGGCTTTACGTTGTGTTGCTTTGCCATTTTAACGGAGTGCCATGGAGACCAGTCAGTTCTAAGTGCTGTTTTACAACAACTCCAAGCGACGCGAGGTTCTTGTGAATATCCTTCCGCCTCATCAAACTTCAGCACAGGAGGAAAAACCTTTGGCTCGACGAGGTAACGTGTCTCTTCCTTTTCCTCTTTTTTTCCCTCCATTTCTGAATAAAGCTTTCCTTTAAGCTAGCTCAACCCGGAGCTAAACAGCGTGTCAGTGAAGCTAACATAATGGAGATAGTGTGTTAACACAGAAACAGTAAATGCAATATAAGAAAATACTTTTATAATGCGAGTATCACATCTAGTCTCAATGCTGGCACTCTTTCAAAAGTCCCACCCCCCCTTCCCTGTTTCATACACACACACACACACACACACACACACACACACACACAGACACACGCACGCACACATCAAAATACACTGGTGACATGTTTATGCCCACCCACCCAAAAAAAAAATCTACACTATATTCTTCTTCTGTCAAATTATTTTTTTATATTTTTGATATATATATATATATATATATATATGAATGATCCTTTCTTGTATTGATCAGCCTGCCAGTGTTAGGGTCAACCTGTTACAGGTCTTAAAGTAAGTTACAGTCTTTCTGAAGGAAAGAGCTGATGTGTGTGTGGCCGTAAATACAATAAACCCCTCTTTGTAGTTACATCTACACACACATCAGACGTGCTGTTTTACAAATATTGCAGATTCACAGAAACGATTCTTTTAAGAGTATTTAAGCAACACATGAGTGTCCTGTGGTAAAGTGAACAAAGCTGGATCCAGTCCTCACACCTGTTTCGTATGTCCAGGAGCCTCCAAGGAGCCACATCACAACATGGTGAACAGCCAAACGTCAGGCGTACCACCGGCCCCCAGGTCGTGCGCAGGATGCGGAGGGAAGATCGCTGACCGCTTCCTACTCTTTTCCATGGAGCGCTACTGGCACACTCGCTGCCTTAAGTGCTCTTGCTGCCAAGCCCAGCTGGGGGACATTGGCACCACCTGCTACAGCAAAGGGGGCATGATTCTGTGTCGGAGCGACTACATCAGGTGAGAGGAAGGAAGAGGTGGAGGAGGAGGAGGAGGAGAGGAAGCTCCTGGTTTTAGATTTTGGAGGCTGTACAGACTGAGCAATCTGTGTTTTTGTGTTTGCAGACTGTTCGGGCACAGTGGGGCGTGCAGCGCCTGCGGCCAGTCTATCCCAGCCAACGAAATGGTAATGAGGGCGCAGGGTAATGTTTACCACCTCAAGGTAAATCCCAAGCTCTCGCATTAATGCGTCTTTGTCTCATGCTTCTTGTTTGACAGAAAAATTGAGAGAGAGATTTGGTGAGAAGGGAGGATCAGTCCCCTCATTGTCAGGAGAGAAAGGAATTGTGCCCTCCATCTTTTTTTGTCTTGTGATGTAATTTTTAAAATTTGTTTGAGAGAGCTTTAAAAGTGTTTTTACAAAACATTGGACTGCAGTGTTTCATATTTTACTTAATATTTATTAAACCAGTTTCAGTTTCTCTGCACAATTTTTTTTGAATTTTTGAGGGAAAAAAAGAGGTTAATGTAAACTGATTTTATGCCCGTTGTACATAATTGTGCTGTAGTGACCTGAATTTGATCTGTTTTCACCTCTGCAGTGCTTCAGCTGCGCCACCTGTAGAAACAGACTGATGCCCGGCGATCGCTTCCATTACATCAATGGTACAATCTTCTGTGAGCACGACAGACCCGGCGCTGCCTTGCTCAACAGCCATCTGCCTCCACTTCAGAGCAACTCTGTGCTGACAGACCAGAAGGTAAATAAAAGGGTTGCTGACGTGATGCCACAGAGAGCCATCTGTATTTACAGCAGTGTGAATTGTTCTTACATGAATATCACTGTGCTCTAATGTGAATAATATAATCTGTTGATTCTCCTCTGGGACAATGGCTGCCACAGCAGGAGATTCTATTAATATAGAAAAAATGGTGCAGCAATGTGGGTAAAAATGTGCCATTTTTATAAAGGGAACAACAGTGCTTGCACTAAAAAAAATTGTAAGTCTGAAAAATAACAGCTGAAATTTTTTGCTGCTTTTTACTTTTTACTGTGCTACATTTATCTGAGAGCTGAGTCACTAATTTCTCTGTCTTTCATACAAACAACATCATTAGTTTATAAAACACATGGTTCAGATGAAACTCCACAGGATGTTTAAAGTAGCTCCACCTAGACAAGATGTCACATTAAAATACGGCATAAACAGTAAAGCATCATTAATAATAATTCAATATTATAATATATAATAACACAAACTGACAGGCTGCATAGTGAGCACATTCATTTTTCAATGTAGATTCTGCCTTAAATTCTTGCTTACTTTTACTTTAGTATCATTTAGTTTAACTTAATTTTTTCTTAAATAAAATCAGAGACTCTTGAAAAATGAAATGTGATCAAAAACTGAATTCTATTCGGTACCTGAACTGGAAAATATATCTGGAAAATTTTACTTTGATAAGCTGCTACTCTTGATGACTAGTGCATTATTATAATGTAAGACATTATTATTAATGTCATATTATATTCTGTTTTAGGTCAATTCGTCTTCAAATCTATATATTTAAGATATATATACATTCAAACATGGATTTCATTGTATTTTTTTAGGAGGTTGTTAAATGAACTTTAATTTGAAATGAAGGGAACACTTCAATAAGAAGGAAACAAACAGAAACAGCTGTGCAGATGGATGTTAAGTGTGTGTTGTGGCAGTGACCCTCGCCTTCTCCCTCTTTGCTCTGCAGGTTTGCTGAGTGGCAGCAGTGCATGTGTCGCCCTCGCCTTTTCTCCTGAACTTCACTTCTCCTCGTTGCACTCCTCCTCCTCCTCCTCCTCTTCTCCTGTTGCTATCGCCGTTGTTGTGGATTTTCATCATCACCTCGCCTCTCTTCCCACAGAGAGGACACAGTTTCTCACCAACACGTCCCGTCCGAAACTGTGTCAGAGACTCAATATGCCGCATACAAAAGTCACATTTATGTTGTGTTCGATATTAAAGTGGTCTGTGCATCAGGCAAAGACTCACAGTGTGTGTGGACTGCGATGGCAAAAGTCTCCTTCAGGACTAACTGAAAGCTCAAGGGAAAAAAAAACGGCGATGAAAGCCAAGCGCCAACTGGAAGAGGGAACAAAAGATGTTTAAATGAATGTTTGATGGACTGCTGTAAAATGACTGTGAAAGCTTTGCTTATGCCATGTGGCATTATTTCCCCTGAGCGTCAGTGTTTTTAATGAACTCTTGATCTCTCTCTTCTATATGTTAATCTGAGATCTTACACACTGAGGATTGAATGTAAAATTGTGGGGTGTCAGACAAAATCCAGAGTATCTGAAAATGTCCAGACATAGGAATGAATTCAACCAGAGACTTTTTTTAAGCACTCAAGGAAAACACAAATCTAATATTTTGCTGTTACCTGTGATTATACTTCAGACGCCCTGAACAACTGAAACAATCCAGTGAAGGTTTTTGCTTTTTTTCTGTGGACTTTTATTTCTTTATCAGATGCCTGTTCAGTGTGTGGAGTTAACAAAAAAATCCTATTAAAATGATTTTCCTGTAACACGTTGCAAAGTGAGCTGAGGTCATTTTGAAGCCCCTTAGCAGCATTAGAGTGACATTGTATTGCGTGGTACCTAGCATGGTGGATGTGGCTGACTCTCCCACTCTCTTTAACCCTGTATGGAGAAAACATGCCTGATTACCCTGAGGAATGGAATTAGGAGGCTTGAGCTCTGACCATTTACAGAAGCAATTAAACATGAGCCCTGTATCTTTGCCTCTGGAGCTCCTGTGGGGCTGAACTTGTGGCATATCCCGTGGCTGACTGGCTCGGTGGCTGCCTGCCTGCCTGTCTCTAATAAAGCCTAATCTTAAAGCGGGCTAATTAAAGGGGAGTGGCCCCCTCTACATCCAAGGCACTTGAAACAATCTGATGTATTTACTCTTTACCATGTTCCAATTAAAGCTCCTACACAGCCTGGTTTGTTTCCCATCACAGCTCTTTGTTCTCTGCCACTCTGCATGGCTTCTGAAAATTATTTTCTTGAGCTGCATCTAATTTGCTCAAACTCAGTGTGCCTTTTTAAAGCTATGTAAAAAGTCTCCATACCATCAGCGCTCAGGAGTTAATCTTAGTGTGATAGCAGTGGTGGAGTGTGTAGCGTGCAAGAAGCAGAAGATAGCATCTGCTCTACTTTCACACCTTGCTTGGGAGCATGGCAGCCATCAAACTTGCACCTTAATGCGCTTAGCTATTTCAAAAAGTCCCACTTGTCATGGTAGGTGCTGATACTGCATCAATTATTTATTCCACGTCTGATCAAGAAGCGTCACGCAAATTCATTAACGTATGCAAATGATCACAATTACAATTATCTTTGTATCGTGATGGTGAAGAAATAAAACCTCGGCACATTCTTGAGTCCCACCGCACCACAAGTTACACTTTGCATTCAAACTAATCAAGCCTCATCTGCCTTTTCCTAATTAGCCGGAACGTTTTCAGATGCCAATTAGCAGGTCTCATGAAAAGGCTCTTTGCCATGAGGTGATGTCTTTTATCAGAGCTTCTGCAGGTGTGTGGCTCACCATGTAGCCTGTGTCATAGGAAAGTGTTTATTCCTGCTAATTAATCATATTAACACATGCAGATGAGTGTAATTGCCTGAGCTCCTCCACCTCACACTGCGTGAAGACACAAGATGATGCCAGGATATTTTTACATGCTCATCATGGAGGGGAAAGAGGACTGGTGAAGCCTCCTTCTTGCCCAGACACTCCTGTGATATAGATCCAAGATGGCTGCCTTCCTTTAGCCCAATTCCATTCTGATGCTAATCCACTGCTCTGTCGGCCAGAAGCTCTTTCTGACCACGTGGCCTCTCTGTGTGTGGAGAGGCCAGACCAAGTGGTTGGACCTGAACAAAGTGCTGGCATTAGCTTAACCACCTTCAGTGCACTTGTGTTGCCAGATGTGAACTCATCTGAACAGCAGGAGGACCCAGAGGCTCAGTTCCCACTTTAGTTAATAACCACTGTAAGGGATGCTTTGTAATTCCAAACTGAATCACTTAAATGTCTTTATTTTGACTTCAATTTTAGTTCCATCTTTAAAGGAGCTGTTTGTAAGTTTAGCTATTGCTACATGGCTAATGTTATCGTTATCAGCGGTTTACTTGCTAGCCTAGAAGAAAAGTTGCAGGTTCAAACTAGATTCCTTTACTAGCATAGAGCTGTTTCCAATGCCAATGTTAACTCTTGTTTGGATTGTATTTCTATCACTTCTTCTACTGAAGTTAGCATGCTAACCAGCTAGCTGATAGCTTTCCGAAAGCGAACTACTGTGGCATCCTGAGGTAACACTTGTATATGCAACGATGGCTGAAGCGGCAAGACTGGTAAGTAAAGAGTTAATGTAGGGTGACCATGTTTTCAAACCCCGAAACTGTGATCCTGCACATGCACATGTATGCGCTTATGCACTATAGGCATTTTCATCAGGATGGGGGGACAGTTATTTTAGTAGTACACCTAATGAGTGCACCTCTCAACACCATGGACGCCATGAACGCAGCCTTTTTGTAGCTTACGAAGGAAGGAGTGAGAAGAAATTAGCCTGCTTAAAATAAAACGGACTGTCTCTTTGACATGACTGCTAACCAGACAGAGAGAGCAACCAGCATCATAGCCTAGGACTCATAGACTAGCAATAGCCTTGACAACAACACACCGAATGATTGACGCTTAGAAAGACTAATCAGTGACTTTGTACCCATGGTGCATTGTTTATGTTTTGATATTGGGTTAGGTAATAATGAGTGAAAATGAGTGGGCCAGACCATGAGAAATGTCTGTGTAAGCACTGAAACAGTTGTTATTTTAATTGTGGTGAAAACCAGGACAATCCAGGACAAACTGGGACATCTGGTCACTAGGTTTGGGCGATATCCAAAATACACTCCAGCCCAAATATTGCAATATACAATACACACACACACATACACACACACACACACACACACACGGCTAATCTTAAATGGTGGAGAGACGCATGCAATGTATGATGGAGGCCATCTTGGACAATACCAACCATCCTCTCCACAACATTCTGGCAGGACAGAGAAGCAGCTACATCATCTCACTGCGCTGCAGAACAGAGAGGTTCAGGAGATCCTAATCTATAAATAAAGTATCTATCCATCCATCCATCCATCCATCCATCTATTTATTCACTGTACTAGAGTGGTTATTCTCCTGTTCTATATATTGTGGGATTCACTAAACCATTTGTAGCTCACATATTTAATGTGTGAACTGTAAACTATTCACCACAAACACCACAGAATCACCAAACGTTTGACCTCATTGCAGTCGTGAGAAATGTCACTGCCTCTGGCACATGTTTAATTTTTCATCATTATATTTTGGTGGCACATGATGAGTAAATTAGAGCACATAAGGAAGTATTTTGAGGGGCTTTGATGAGGGCAAGCGCAATACGGTATGTGATGCCCTCTCAGTTTGTGGTGGTAGTTTACAATCTGGAGAGTTGAAACCTTCAAAATCTAAAAATCATAAACAGACATACAGAACCATGAACAAGTTCTGTGTGCATTAAATGCTCTGTTTAACTGAATTACAAAAAATTTGTTTTTTTTGGTAGAAAATTGTCACAATGGAAATTGTTAACAGCGTCTTTGGAATATCCACTAACTGTGACATTAATTCTCATTGCTTTTGAATTTTTTAATGTAATTTTTACCAGCTGTGACCGTGTTGGTACTGTTTTATATGTGTGTGTGTGTGTGTGTGTGTGTATGTGTGTGTTTGTGTGTGTGTGTGTGTGTGTCATCATGCAAAGTGTGGTCCTGGCTTTGGCAGGTGTTTTTGTAATTTTATCAGTGTGTCACAAAAGTCACAAAACTTAACAGGTGTGAAGTTGAGATCAAAATGAAGATGAGTGTGGTCCGACCCATGAGTTTTGAGTGATCATGTAATAATGTAGTAATGACTACTGAGGACTCGTGGGTGTGAACGTTAGCATGTTGACAGGTGTCGCAGCTGCTATGATCCCGTTGCAAGATGGTCTCTAGTTTAAATGTGCAAGCAACAAAATTTCATCCAACAAACGAGACACAGACTCAAAACCAACCAATTCAAACCATTAGTATCTTCATACCACACACCACAACCAGTAAGTGAGAAAATCTTTTCTTTGACATTCAGGTGAACTCATCCTTTAAGTGACTTTTAACACTGTATTTTTTGTGCTCACCTCTTCAGTTCGGACCAGAACAATCATCTTTATGAACTGAATTTGAACCCTGTATTATGTTGATGAAGATTGACTTTCTGTCTCTTATTGCTCATGCTCTATATATTCTAAACAAACTAGAAATTTAAAGTCTATTTCTTACTGTCTGAGGTTTTTTCTGAAGCTCCGTCCTGTATATTGTTACACCCATCATCATATAACAAACATAAAATCAGCTGTTTGCTCATATCAAAGTGTCATGGAGCAATTACTTGTACCTTGTATTTTACCTTGAATCCAATCCAACATTAGGTTCTATAGTATTAATTATATATATTAACATTACTGAGAGAATAGATGAGTTGAGAGTGAAGGATGCCAGAGAGGAACAGTATGTGTCATCTATAAATGAATGCCGATAGACAGGTCTTGTCGACCCTTAGGCACTGAGCTCAACGTAAGTATGTATGCTGTAAAACCACCATCTGGTTGTCACCAATTTCAAAATGCGAGCATGTAAATGCAGTGGTTCTGTGTGTAAAGATGTCTGTGGCATTAAACTGTGCTGACAATCCTCCTGAAAGCTGCTCGGGCTGTAAGCTATTTATGGTAGCCTCCAATCCCTGAGCACCAGATGATTGTCGAGAAGTAGCTACTACAACTACCAACATACACCTAATTTGTCATAACCATATTGTGTTAAATGCTGCGATGATTCCTGAGTCCTCTTTGAACTCGCTGAGGTCTCTGATGCTGCGCTGCGTACCCTGCATTGTATGCGATTGAAATATGAGACACTGCTGGAACATGTAGGAAGTGAGGCATGTTGCAGCCATAACTCACTGCCTTCAGCATGGGAGTGGAGAAGCATAATGACAAAGAGAACGACTTTACAACTCCAAGCCTCATACAGGAATGTCAGGGAGGGGAGATGGAGAAAAGTTCTCCTGGCCAATCGGAACGCTTTGAATAATTAAAGTGATCGGCTTAATTAGCTCAATTACGTTAATTTGACCACGGAACACGGCCATATGGTGAAAGGAAACAAAAGAGGGGGGAACTAATTAAAAGTAAAATAATGAGGATTTTAATTAACTGGCTCCCCAGACAGCGGAGCGCAGGGATCAGGAGCCTGCTACCATAATTAAAGTGCTGTAACGCTGGCAACATCTCTCCTCTCTTTCTTATATCTGTGAGGGCTCTATCCATCTAATTAAATCTGTAAATAAATTAGCAACATTGAGGGTTCCTGCTTGACTTAACACCGCCTGCAAACCACCCCCACCCTCCCAATAACACGCTCACCTTACTTTCAGCACACTGCGCCACCCATATGTAGGCAAAGGTTGAGCTGAGTTCTGTCATTAACAGAGGGATATGAGTATAGGAACCGTGTGTGTGTGTGTGCACGTTGTGTGTGTGTTTGTGTGTGTGTGTGTGTGTGTGTGTGTGTGTATGTGTATGTGTGTGTGTCACCCATGTTTGTGATGGTTTCTCCCTTTCATAACCAGATTCTGTCAGATTCTGTTTTCAGGCTCTGTCTGCTGGGAACATGGCTGACAGATCACAGGAGGTCAACGTGGAGGTGACGGAGGCATCACCTTCATGTGTTGCACATGTTCAGGCTGCAACCAGCCGCCATGCATGTTCAATACGTGCCATCTGGGCTTCCCTTCTCTGTCCCCAGTACATTGTACCTCAGTGTCTTTCT